TGGCACGTCCTACATTTTGTGGGCCCTTGTCCTCCTTTGTGATGTGGACCTCTGGTCACCCTGAGCCTTGGATGGCACATCCTTATTTTGACATTGGCCGAAGGACACCTCCAGCCACTGTTGTTGTTGTTGTTGTTGTTTTTCTTTTTGCAGCACAAGCAAGCCCTGGTGTGTATGTGATAGTTGTGCGTGGAGAAATAACAATGCAGGGCTTCTTTTCCATTGCAACACCCTCCCTCCCTTGGTTGTGTCAGAGTCAACCTCCTTAATAGCACCAGGACTAATAAATCCAGGATTACCCTCCAGTTACCTTCCCTTTCTTTAGTCTGAAATGCACACACCACAAAAACACACACACCCAGCCTAGCCAGCCTCTCACTGGAGACCTTGCAAAGATGCCTGGCAGCCTTGCTTGCAAATCTAAATTTTTTATTTTGGGGGCAGTGTGCGGCAGGAGATATATATACGATACATATATATTCCCCTTATTCCTTGCTGCATTTGTTCCTTTCTGGTTCCTTTCAATCTGCTTTATTGTCGCCTTTTCAAAGTTAGGGTTCAATTTTCTTGTGTTGCCAGGAGGTACTGAATACCTGGCACTTTTTGGGGTTGGCATTGCTATGTGTGAGGGGTGTGTATATGTGTGTGTCGGAACCGCACAAGGCAGATGATGGTGTTGTGGGCAAGAAGGGGAAAGGCCGAGAACGATTTCTCTCTCCAGGTTGGTGCATGGATTTTATTTTATTTTATTTTATTTTATTTGTTTGGCAAAAGCTGTGCCATTTTAATGCGGTCCTCCCTTTCTCAGGCCGGTCTAAAAGGCACACAGATCTGCTTTTTTGTGTGGTGTGTGTGTGTGCGCCTTTTTTGCTTGCCCTATGAAAGACAAGCATATGAAGTTGGGGATTTGACTTATGGTCAACATTATGACCTTTTATTGCAGTGGCCTCTTTTTCCCCCTTCTCCTCTGTGGCAGAAAACAAGCTCCATCCATGAAGGTGATCTGCTCCATTGGTGGACTTGTGGTTTTGGAAACCAGATCAATGGGACTGAGGAGGCAAGGATTTTGCCTCCGCTGTGGTCGAAGTGGCTTTTTATGTCTCTCTCTCTCTGTGTTGTGTTCATCTTGTGTTCATGAGCTGATCGTGTTCGAACCTGTTTGTAAAAGAAGCCACTTGGCTGGGTGAAAAACACCCAAAGCATTGGAGTGGGATCCTTTGGGGAGAAATATGACAGATCGCTTCTTTCCTTCCTTCCGAATGACCCCAAATTCTCACCTCTTGCTAAGGAAACATCTCCCACCTATGTCTTCTTCTTTCCTCCCGGAGCAAAGATAGCAGCTTTTGTTGCAAAATCACTCACATTAGATGCTGCAATAGTGGTTTTTCTGTACACAGTGCACCGGGAGGAAATAGCTTTGGAAGATCTAGGAGTTTTTTTGTGGGGTATTTTTTGCAAATGAAGAATGGGGGGTATCAGAGGAGGGAGGGAATCTAGATCCTTAGGGCCTTCAAGTGTAAGGGAAGGGGAAGCCAGGTCAGTTGCTGTGGGGTAGCTTTTGTGATACTTTGTGGTTCATCCTTCCTTCCTCCCATGCTCATTTCCTCAGTGCCTGAAGGAGAATCTGCAGTCAAGTGCAAGTGTGTGTATGTGTGTGTTTATGATGTTTTAAATCAACCCGGCTCCATCTTCCCAAAGAGGTGGAAGAGAAAATGTCAACAGCAGAGGACCCATTTCCAATGTCCTCATCTTTGAAAAGCTATCCAGGTGTAAAGGTGCTCATGGAATATCACATTATTTTCAGGAGGATTCTAATCCGTGTGGATTTTAGCAGGGAGCATGGAGAGCTGGAGATCTCTACTCCACCCTCATTCCTTCTAGTGACCTTCAGGGGTTGCTGGTTGCTCCATCTTTTTTACCCCCCATGGAATTAACCAAACTAGAACAGGACCTTGGGGATGATGGACTCTGATACCCCCCTTTTGCTGATGCAGGAAATTGTAGAGAATCTGCTGATGCAGGAACTTACGTTTTACGGGATGGATATGGGTTCCCCCCATCAATAGATTTCCATCCTGTGAAACTGATTTGGGTCCAGAGAAGAGAAATAAAGAAAGCCTCCCCCAAATTGATAGAATGCAAAATTTCTGAGAAAGACTGCTTCACTTTTTGACCTGAGGAAGAGGATATTGTTGTTGTTGTTGTTTGTTGTTGTTGTTGTTGTTGTTGTCGTCGACGTTGTTGTTGTCATTGTGCGTGCCTTCAAGGCAGCCCTATTATGGAGTTTTCTTGGCATGTTTCTTCAGAATGGGTTTGCTATTGCCATCCTCTGAGGCTAAGAGAATATGACTTTTGGCCAAGGTCATCTAGTTGGTTTACATGACTCAGCCGGGATTCGAATCCTGGTCTCCAGAATCATAGTTCAACACTCAAACCACTACACCATGCTGGCTTTCTAGAGGGTATCTACATTACACAGTAATAGTAGTTGGATAACAATGTTAACCTTCTCAGCTTCATTCTAAGGCAGGGGTAGGCAACCTTTTTGAGCCAGGGGCCGGGTTGC